GGGATTACAGATGTGAGCCACCACGCCCAGCCAAAACCACCATTCTTAATCTTGTTAGGAAGTGGAAATGAGTTTTTAATAAGCATCTATTCGGGGAACTTTGGTCTCCAGGAGGCATTTCCATTTGAGAGAGAAACATTTTTTAAAAGTGAGCTTGCCAAAAGGAGGAACACTTAAACCTTCTGTCAGACAGATTACAAGAAAAAACACACACTCAATGCAACTGGCGGGGGGGTGGGCATCCGGTTCCCAAAGCAAAATCTCGGCCCTAAATTCCATAAAGTTCCTTAACCACAGAAGAAGAACTTACGCTGGCAGAGTCACATGGGTTGTGCCAATTGGAACTATTTCCATGGATTTGCCCCAGAATTTGTTTTTCCATCTCACATCTGAAATGAAATACCAAATATTACGTTTTTAGCAGGAGAGTTAGGTAGATGAAATAGTTCCTAGGCTAGATAAATGATCAATCCCTATATAGTACAACCTCTTCACAACCAAGTCAATTATTATATAGGATAACTTTTCATAACATATAAGTACCAACCCCATGGGCCCCTGGCGCAGACTCAGGGAAACTGAAATGATAAGATAACGTCCTTTCCATGAATGCGTTAACAGCATGACAGGCAGACAGAAGTGAAAACAAGTAGTTAGCACACAGAGAGGCCCAGGTTATAACTAAATGTATTATAAGGTAAAATGAAACCTGAGAAGAAGGAGTGACGAACATGCTTGGAGAAAGCATCAGAAGAGGCTTGTCAGAAAGGGCCATCTAAATGGGGCTTTGAGGAAAAAGCAGGAGTTCACTGGGCAGACAAAAAGCAATTTAAGGCTAAATAGCTTGTCCAAGGGGACAGAAGTATAGGAAAACATAGTCACGTAGTATGGTTCTATTCTACAGGTCTCAGACTGTCTTATCTAGAGAAGAGTAGAAAGGTTGAGAACAAAACCAGGTGCAGTGGCTCATGCCTGTAATCCCAGCACTTTGGGAGGCAGAGGTGGGTGGATCACTTGAGGTCAGGAGTTCGAGACCAGCAAGGCCAACATGGCGAAACCCCTTCTCTACTAAAAATACAAAAATTAGTTGGGCATTGTGGTGGGTGCCTACAGTCCCAGCTGCTAGGGAGGCTGAGGCAGGAACCCAGGGTGGAGGCTGCAGTGAGCCAAGACTGTGCCATTGTACTCTAGCCTGGGTGACGGAGTGAGATTCTGTCTCAAAAACAAACAAACAAACAAAGAAAAAAAAACTGAAAACGAAAAACAATGGGCTCTCCAAGCCTGGCTAAGAGTATGGTTTCTGTGCAATGAGTGGAAACAATCAGGCCACTGATGGGATTAGACATGGACCTTGCAAAGGCAATTGGAAGCCATACGGAGAATGGAACAGGAGTAGGAGAGAGGAGAAGCAAGGTGACAAGTTAAGAGGCTACTGCAGTTGCCCAGGGGATAACAAATGGGGATGAAGGGAACCAAGACAACAGACATGGGGAAGCGAGTGAGCCCAGAAATGCTAAAGAAGAAGAAATAGGCACAACTAGGTGACAAATTAGATACAGACCGAAAAAGAATTTATGAACAATGTCAGATTTCTCTAACTTGCATGAATGATGGTACCAACAGAGAAGCCAGGGAATAGAAAAAGAACAGCAAGAGGATCCCATCTGGCTGCTGCACTGAGGATAGACAGACTACAGGGTGGGAGCAGAGGGGACAGTGGGGAGCCCTGGCTGGGGTCCAGGTGAGAGAGGTGGAGGTGGGGCTGGGACCAGCGAGCACAGTGGGCCTCATATTGTAAAATCATATTTATATAAAATGCCCCAAACAGGCACATTTACAGACTGGGGAATGTTGAGAGAAAAGGGGCAGGGTAATATTTGCTAAAGAGGATTCTTTCTGGAGTGATGAGAATGTTCTAAAATTAACTGTGCTGATAACTGCACAGTTTATAAAATTCATAATTCTGTGAATAAAAACCATTGAATTGTACACTTTACACGGGTGAATGATATGGTATACAAGTTGTATGTTCATAAAATTGTTACCAAGAGAAAAAAAAAAGATAGCCAACTGTTTAAAGCAAAAGTAGTAACAATGTACTACATGATTTATGGTATGCAGAAGTAAGATGTACGTCAAAAATGGTAGAGAGGTTGGGAGGGGAAAATGGAAGTATACTTCTGTAAATCTCACTATATGTGAAACTGGCATAATATTATTTGATGATATTAAAAATATATAACATAAATCCTAAAGTAACAACTTTAACAAGAAACAAAACGGGTAAGTATAGCTAATAAGCTAACAGGGGAGATGAAAGAGAACGATAGAAATTATTCAATCCAAAAGGCAGAGAAAGAGGAAAAGGAGAACAAAGAACAGATGTGACAAACAGAAAAGAAACATCATGAGGGCAGATTTAAGCCCAGCTACATCTACAATCACAACAAACGGAAACGGTTTACACAACCTACATAAAAGGCAGAGAAATGTCAGGCTAGGTTACAAACCAAGATCTGGGAATCCTAGGCCCATGGAAATAGGTGGATTGCTCAGGAAAAGGCTGATAGGGAAGGATGGCCTAGGAGAAGGATGCTCAGGAAAGGGAAGGATGTAATGTAGGAAGCACACAGAACTACTTTGAGAAGACCCCTCTCATTTAAAAAAAAAAAATCCAACTTTTGGCCGGGCGAGGTGGCTCACGCCTATAATCTCAGCACTTTGGGAGGCCAAGGCAGACAGATCACAAGGTCAAGAGATCAAGACCATCCTGGCCAACATGGTGAAGCCCCATCTCTACTAAAAATACAAAAATTAGCTGGGCATAGTGGCTCATGCCTGTAGTCCCCGCTACTTGGGAGGCTGAGGCAGGAGAATGATTGAACATGGGAGACAGAGGTTGCAGTGAGCCGAGATCGCGCCATTACAGTCCAGCCTGGCAACAGACTGAGATTCCATCTCAAAAAAAAAAAAAAAAAAAAAAAAATCCAACGTTTGAAACAACAAAGAAGAGGTGCTTATAGCATGAGTGAGATTTATCAATTAGGAGGCTAGGAACCTTATAAGAATATTTCCAGAGGGTTTTGGTGAGAGAACAGTTTCAATTTTAAACTTTAATAGCAAAGGTGAAGAAAGAACACCATGGTACTTGTCACTTTAAGCTGGAAATACTGATTGCCTCCAGGGAGAGAAACTGAGTGGCTGGGGAAGGGGGTTACAGTGTACTGCTTCGTACTTTTAAAGTTTAATAGACTGCGTGTGTGTGTGTGTGTGTGTGTGTGTGTGTGTGTGTGTGTGTAAAGGCAACATGTGCTATCAGTGGTAGCAGAGAAAAATATTTTTAAAATGTATATGTGCTTACTGTCTAAAAACTTAGGATGCTTATATTTTCCTTCTACAGTACACTTTTTTTTAAATAAATTGAGAGGTTAACAAAATTAATCCATCTAGGAAATGGCTATAGCCTTATTTATTCTTCAGAAGATTTACCCACCCACCCCCAACTCAAAATATAAACTGAACAAAATTTTAGGAACAATCATCTCAAAACTGAAAAGAAGTAAGCAATGTAAAACACGACTTCGGAAATAAAATTTAAGTCTGGCAAAAGCAGACAACCCCTCTGCTGTCTACACTCTGATAAACGACTGTAAATATTTAGTGTCTCTTGAACTATGTGAGGCATTTCAAATGATATTTAAATAAGATAAAGTTACAGAAATAAATGGAGGAGGCTCAGATAAACTAAGTGAGAGATGAGCGGCAAGAACAGGTGACGCAGATCCTTCCAACCAGGCCCAAACCCAGGGACCACTTTTGATCTCAGTAAGAATTGATAGCAATTCTTGGATAAAGTAAATAGATAACATATTACACAATATGATGGAAGTAAAATGTATTAGCACATTACCTTGCCAGAAAACAAAATTTCTAGACTCAGCATGGCATGCAGAGATAGGCGGATGGTGGCTGACCTGATGGAAACAAAGGACAGAAAAACAAAAAATGAACTTTTGCGTCTCATGAATTCCATTCTTTCTCCCCTGCACTGAGATGTAACACAGTGTGCAGTGCTGAAGGAAAAACTTTAGTTTCCCTCAACAAGTCTGTCCTCAAGAGGGCGCTCCTGATACAGTCAGCTCCCACTTGCTCAGGTTGGTCAAGGGTGAGGGGAAGGCCCTTGAATGGAAGCCTCCAGAAGCCTCTGTGGGAGGGCGGCCAGGTGGTGAGTGATGAGGATAGAGGCGCATTTTGAAAGACATAAAAATAAAAACAGGGACATGTGAGGATTGCTCATCCATAACATATAATCTGACATTGGCTACCAATGTGTCAACATCTCTGTCAGCTGTTCTGAAAGTAGCTGCAGATGTTTTAATTAAGATATCAAGTAACAAGTATTCTAACATGCAACCCAAATGCTCTTCCTCAGGCTCAGCCAATTTAACTCTTGAAAACTCTGCGTAATAAAGGCCAGCCTCTTTTCAAATCACCTACAAGAAGACCGATGCAAGGTAATTTTTTTAAAAAGAATGTTTCTATTAAAAAAAAAAGGGGCGGGGGGACACACAATTGTTGAGGAAACGTTAGTCAACTGTTAAGAACATTTTATTTATTTTTTTGTCAAGATAAAAACTATCTTGAGCAAATAAGTAACCTCATTCCAGAAAAGAGAATTCCCTGGAGCAGAGACTGCTTTTTGGCAAGGAGTCATTACTCATTTTATTCAGTAATGAAGAGGCTGAAGAGAAAATGGCTCCTCCCTCTATTTCCTCATTATCTCAGTTGCACTCAGGGAACGTTGAGAGGTGTACATGCTGTTATTCTAATTCAGTACTGGTGAAACCACAGTAATGCTTTCAGGGTTGTTTCCAGAAAGTTCTCTGATGTAGCTGATTCCTAGCAGAGGTGTCTTACATTGAGAGTATCTAGCTCAAAGCCTGCACTTTATAAACAAAGAGACTGAAACCAGAAAGATTAAGTAACGTTTCCCAAGCCACACTGATAGTCAGAGGAAAGACCCAGCAGTTTTGGTTTACCTCACTGGTTTTCAAACTTTGCAAAAAAAGGAAAAAAAAATGTTTTGAGCAGCTGCACGGTTTTCAAACCCATCTTATCAAGAACCCAGAATACTGAGTCCTTGCTTGAGAAAACAGGTGGGGAGGAAGGGAGGGCAGTGGGTAACAAATCCACAGCTGTTCACCTTCCTAGGACTCTCGGCTGAGGAACATGGTTTGAAAACTACTTCTGTGAGCCAGGCCTCCAGCTGGAGGACTGCAGGGCTGGGAGGATGCGGTCACACACACCACACCCACATATGACTCATGGGATTACAGCCGTGTGGGCCAAAGAAAGGTAGAGACAAAGATGTAAATCATGTAGGTATCTTTCAGATTCCTCAATGAACATAAATGCCAGTTGCAATACAAAGCAGGAGACTCAGATTTGCTGCTCTTTGGTTTGTCTTAGTTCCCATGTGCCTCCTAAGAACGTGAGCCCTTCTGTGCCTGTGGGATTTTCAAGGGCAATTTTCACTTCAAGCACTGACTTAGAAACCTAATCCCATAATGTAACTCTCTGATATTTCCTTTGATGTCGTCTTTTTTCTTGAGACAGGGTCTCACTCTGCCACCCAGGCTGGAGTGCAGTGGCACAATCAGCCCACTACAGCCTCGCCCTCCAGGGCTCAAGTGATCCTCCTGTCTCAGCCTCTCAAGTTGCTGGCACTAAAGGTGTGTGCCACCATGCCTGGCTAATTTTTTCACTTTTTGTAGGGATGCGGTCATGCTGTGTTGCCCAGATGGGTCTGAACTCTTGGCCTCAAGTGATCTTCCCACCTCAGCCTCCCAAAGTGCTGGGATTACAGGTGTGAGCCACCATATCCAGTTGTCTTTTTTTAAAAAATCCTACCACTTGGAGATACTTTATATCAAAAAATGCTACATTCTTCTCCTTTTCTTCACTAGCTATCTCTCAATGAAAACAGTGGAGCTAGCTTTGAAACCATGGGATCATATAAAACAAAATCAGGGTGCAGTGGCACAGCCCTGTAAGCTACTTGGGAGGCTGAGGCAGAAGGATCCCTTGAGCCCAGGGTCCAGGAATTCAAGATCAGCCTGGGCAACACAGTGAGACCCTATCTATAATAATAATAATAATAATAATTCAAAACAACCATAAATCAGCTCAAGACAATCGCCACTCCCCACTTCTCCACCCCACCTGGCATGACCACTACGGAGTGGAAGGACAGCTATGAAATGTTCCTCTCCCTCATAATGGAGACATATTTTAAAGTGGATTATTATGAAGTAGATTATATTCATCCCACAAAAACAATGTAGCAATGTGGGAGAGAGCACTACAGCTTTGATGAAGAATTTGGCATCTTTACAGGTATAGCCGAATGTAAACATCAAAGCCAAACACAGTATATAAAAATCATACACCTCTTTTGTAATAATTTTAAACACCATAAAACAGGGATAAATATCCTATCCATATGAACTATAAAAGAACCCCTACTGTATACACACATCTCATAAAAATGCAAGCTTGATTTTTTTTTAAACTGTTGTGTTAGATAATGAATGAATGTTTAGCAGATTAAGTTTAGATGGGTTCAACACATTTTCTGAATTAAGTCTCAACCTTCAAATATCAGTAACTTTGCTTATTTCTTTATGGCTTACACAGGCTTTTGGGAATGGTTTATTTGGCCCACATTGCTTTTAAGAGTTTTACAAAGCTTTCTGGGGAGATTTACATTGATAGCTTATTATTATTATTATTATTATTTTGTATATTTCCTCCTATTTCTGGAGCATCTGCCATGTGCTGCACTAGTGTCCGGGAATGAGGGAAAGGTTTTTGCTGTTCCACGGACCTGAGCCCTGACTGCAACATCATCTGCTGGCTGTTTGACCTTCACAGCTTTTCCATCCCCTCAGCCTCTGTCACCTCATCTGTGAAATAAGGCTGATTCCACTGACTTGGCCAACTAAAAGAGAACACATACAAACTGTCCAGGATCGTACGCTGATGTGGATTAGGCAGAGACTATATTTTCATTTTTTTTTAATGAGTGTATTTTTACTTGGTTCTTACTATCTTTGTTAGCCTGATTTTATAAATTAGGAAACAGGGGTTCTGTCCAGCAAAGAGCTTCCCCAATGCCACACCATTAATGAGTGATCAAGGTAGCACTCCAAACCTATGTCATCCTCTTCCAGATCCAGGGCTCATGTCACTCCCCAAAGCCAGGACACATCGTTAAGGTTCCTTCTCATGGACATTTGGAGAAAAAACCTTTTGAATTTGACCTTTCCAACCTGAGTCTCGCATATTTCTTTGTAAAATGAGGTGTGAGGATCCCTCTTGGCTTCAAAATGCTCTGATTCTAACATCTGATGTTAATGTCTTCTTCAAATCTTAGCATCAAAGGTGGCAGCGGATGCTGGCCAACTTGAAAATATTATACAAAGGCTTTGATTAACTTCAATGCCCATGGAAAAAGGTAATTCACACTTAATCACTAATCTTTGTTGATGGCAATCCTTCTAAAACCTATTAGAGTAGAGAATAATGAGCAGAATCTAACCTGTCTATGTTATTGTAGGATTTTGGTTGAGTCTGTATTCTCCTAACATTTTAACTCAGGCAATAAAAGGCAGTAGATGCATTTGTCTGAATTGACCCAGCCCTGGAAGAGATGCTCTCTGTTAGCCTGTTGAATAAACCCAATTTCGACATTTTTTTTTTAAGCATTCTTCCCTATCACTTCCTCTCCAATCAAAGAAGAGCAATTCTTGATTGGTAAGGATGCCCAAGCATTCAAGGAATTACCACACATGGTTTTTATTATGCAAGTATTCATATGATAACACATGTATCTATCTTTCTTTCTACAAGTCCCAATACAGTTCCCCTGGCAGTTAAGAATTCTGGTAATTTATAATTTATTTATATATCTGAGGACTTTCTTTACCTTGACCTAATCATTTTTAATTTATGCTTTGAACGCACTTTATATAAGAGGTCAAGGGAGAAGCAGATAGGGAAAGGATGTATTTTCAGTATTTTTGTACTTTGTAAGCTTTTATTTTTCAGATTTAGAAAAGCAGCCCTTCAATACCATCAGTTCTCCCCTGCAACTGCTCCAAGGCATAACTATCCAGTACTCCCAGGTCCTGACTTCCCTGCGGCAATACAGGGCAATAATGAAAAAGAGGGCAAGTGTCAGGTGAAGAAGTCATCCAGAGAGGGGGACCAAGTGGCCATTCTTTCCAGGTCACTCATCAAGCACTTACTGATTGCCTCCGATGTGTCTTCAACACATTTTCTGAATTAAGTCTCAACCTTCAAATATCAGTAACTTTGCTTATTTCTTTATGGCTTACACAGGCTTTTGGGAATGGTTTATTTGGCCCACATTGCTTTTAAGAGTTTTACAAAGCTTTCTGGGGAGATTTACATTGATAGCTTATTATTATTATTATTATTTTGTATATTTCCTCCTATTTCTGGAGCATCTGCCATGTGCTGCACTAGTGTCCGGGAATGAGGGAAAGGTTTTTGCTGTTCCACGGACCTGAGCCCTGACTGCAACATCATCTGCTGGCTGTTTGACCTTCACAGCTTTTCCATCCCCTCAGCCTCTGTCACCTCATCTGTGAAATAAGGCTGATTCCACTGACTTGGCCAACTAAAAGAGAACACATACAAACTGTCCAGGATCGTACGCTGATGTGGATTAGGCAGAGACTATATTTTCATTTTTTTTTAATGAGTGTATTTTTACTTGGTTCTTACTATCTTTGTTAGCCTGATTTTATAAATTAGGACACAGGGGTTCTGTCCAGCAAAGAGCTTCCCCAATGCCACACCATTAATGAGTGATCAAGGTATCAAAAAATGCTACATTCTTCTCCTTTTCTTCACTAGCTGTCTCTCAATGAAAACAGTGGAGCTAGCT